CTTGTCGTTGAGGACCGTATCTCCAGCACCTATTGTAATGGCCTCAACTACTGAAGGAGCATAAAATGTTCGTATGTGGGGAATAGTAAAAAATTGTTCATCTATCAGGAATAAGTATTCACAGTAAGATGTAATTACGTGGAGAATACGCTGTTGAATGCCGATAGTTGGATCGGTCTAAGCACTGGCTGCCTGTAAAGTGGATGCGCACGCGGGGAAATACCAGGGTCGAGCCAAAATTCTGGTATCCAAGACATTTACTATAACTACATAAAAACGATATGGAACTAATAAAAACAAATCGACTATCGAAATTGTGAAGACTCATATCGACGAACGAGGAAGATTGTGAGTTGGAATCTGCATTATAGAGGTTTCGATGCAAGGCGACACCGTTACCCGTGGACACTAGGAGAACGTCAAAATGTTCCAGATTTTTGTTATGCCGTCTTCAAAAAACAAGGCCTTCCTGGAGTTTCAGTTTGCTCTAGGCTCCGGGTATGCAGAAATTCAGCTGAATTCGGTGAGGAATTCCCTATCGGTAACAGTTTGTTAAAGGATATAACGCGCCCGGAAAAATTCTCTTAGCAGGATTTTTGCATTGACTAGGTGCCTTGACTAGTGATACGTCCAAATTATGCACTTGAAGGGGTTTCCTGTCCATTGCAGACACTGGATATTAAGAGTGTCCAAGTGGCTGTCAACGTCAGTTTTTCAAATTATCGGTACAAAAGTCACAAGGAGGAGAACGATGTTTTTCGCCACTTAATATTTGTGCTTGATGAAAATCCACTTTTCGAACACCTTATTGTCCAATCTTAATGCGGTTCCTTAACGTATTGGCAGCTCCCAGCCTCACACCATAAGAGCTTTTTTGTTACGTTTGAAGCTGTTAACAATGATTCGTTTTGATTTGTTCTTCATAGTACGGCGCAACGGTAACTTGATATCCTACTATATATAATCGGCTAAGCGGTTGTGTGTGTGTGTGTGTCTGACCGGGAAATTCATAACTTCACCCCCTTTGGACCCAGAGCGCTCAAACTTCTAGGATATATAGGGGGCCGGAGGTGAACACTGATGACGGGTGGCGGGAAGTGATAACTACTGATAGGAGCTGATAACGGACGTCGAAATGTTGATGTCACCAATTTCGTTGCACCGTTCGCGTTGATGGTGGAGAGTTTGCACTCATGTATGATATGTGGGGTGAGGCGGGGACCAAGAAGTTGAGTGAACGAATGTGGTAGCAACTGATAAGAACTGATAAGGGGCGTCAAAGTGTGGATACCACCAGTTTCGTTGCGGCCCTGCGGTTGACATTGGAAACCTTGGCTCTCACATGTGGTATAGGGGATGGGACGGGAACACGGATAGCGGATGATCAGAAGTGATAACAAGCGATAACGGTTGATAAGGAAGTTAGGATTTTGAGTACTGCTGAATTCGTTGCAGCCTTCGTGGTGACAGTAAATATTAGCTCCTACACGTTGCCTGGAGGTTGGGACCGGGACACCGATTGCGAACAGTATGAACTGATAACAAATGACAAGGAATGATAAGAGCGTTTGAATGCAAGTCTCTCCAACTTCGTTGCAATTTTCACTGGCAAGCGATCAAGGTGGCGAGGGTTGAATGTAGGTGACAGAAAGTGGTATGAGCGGCAACTGTACTGATAAAAGTGCGACAGTTGATGTGCATTCAACTGTCAACCTAGACGTGAATGTGTTCCATTCCTACCCTTTCATCTAGAAAAAAAAGAAGCAAAGAAAGTTGAGCTGCCCAACTTGGACCAATAGCGAATTTCCATTATATTTCCGATTTCCATCATAGCTCGGTTAGATGCTGATTGATTGGTTATATTTCACTTACACACCGATTCTTCAATTGTGGAATTCTATAAACCGCTAAATCACCCGAGCTCGATATCAATGCTAAATGTTTACGAAGTCATGATAAGTAATTTTCATTCCGCATGCTACTGCGCGCATTACGCTACAATCTTCAGCAAAATTGGACCTTCGAAATTCATGTGACACATCTTCCAAACATCTTACTGTTAGTTTCTCAGCCACGTGACCTAATATTCAGCAAGTTGTCCAGTTTCACTAAAGCCTACCATGTGATGCGCGCGGTTGCGTGCGGAGCTAAACTGGTAAATTAAATAAACAATATTGCTGCAGGGATTAGCACATTGTGGCGGTTTAAATTTTGACGTTGGAAGCCTGTGATGATGTGGTTGCTTTCTATTAATTTTTGAGATTCGAATGACATTGTTTTTCAATAGGAGAGGACGTTAGGGAAGGAAGGAGAAGTGAATAGATAGCAAAAGAAGTGAGTTTGACCCCGAGAACTCGTAATTATCATAATTTCGGCCCATTCCTTATATGCACCACTTTAAGCAGTAGCCAGTCAGCGAATTGAGCGAGATGTGGTGTTCTTTCGGCAAGCGGTGAGTTGGTTGTAGTTTTTGAAGGCAAGCCTAAGCACGAAACGTTGGGATAAGCGTAGGTGTGGAAGGGAGTTCACTAATGAAGCTATAGCTGAGGAGTGATTTTCATAAGAAAAAGAAAGCAAGAGAAACCCCCGATTACGCCCGGAATAAGGTTCCCCTCTATTTCAGCAGCATTTCACCTTGGAATAGAGAAGGGGCGTGTTGGACTAGTTTCGTGGACCTAGCTCCAGTTGCTTCAGTGCCCTTGTCATTGAATCGCAATGCAATCGCTGCCGCGATTGCGCCCGCGCTTTTGCAGCATCACGTAGCACCCGACAGCGGAAGCTCGCGGACGAAGGGAGTGAATTGCGGGGCGAGCAGCTTGGACGCAGGGTCAACCGTCACGTTCGAACATTTTCAGGGTTTTTGCGACCCCCTTTTCTCAAGGGGGTCACCCCCTTATCTCAAGGGGGTCCAGTTGCGACCCCCTCTTAGGTAATGGAAGTGCCGAATGTGCTGACTAAATGTTAAGTGAAATATTTATTTCACTCATTTTACTTCAAAGACAGTGAACTAAAACCTTTTAAAGACAATGAACTTCCATGACATAGAACAAAACATTTGAATATTGAATTCTTCACTGGCATTTGAATTGAATTCTTTTCAAAAAATCATTGAATTTTTTTCAAAAATTCAATGATTTTTTGAAAAAAATTCAATTCAAATGTTCAGTAAAGAATTCAATATTCAAATGTTGTGTTCGTAAGTTCGTAAGTTCATTGTTTTCAAATGGACAATGAACTTCCATGAAATATGAACAGAACATTTGAATATTGAGATCTTCACTGAAATTTGAATTGAATTGTTTTCAAAAAATCATTGAATTTCTGAGCGGCAGCGCGGCGGCGTCAACCTTGGAGCGCGGCAGGTATCACCCGGACGCTGGAAAACTGGGACGCGGCGAAGAAAAAGTTTTAGGAGAGTGTAACTTTCTTGAGACGTATTTGTTTCACTTATTGAGGTAGGTTTAAACTGTGCCTGAGGTGGCTTTACAGAAAATTGCAAGGATGACCTAACTCTCCCAAAAGTATTTCTGTCAGAAGCGGAAAACCCAAAATTCTGAGAAGGCGCACCTCCAACTTTGAGAGCTCATAAAATCTTTCGTATGCGACATCTTGGAAATTTGTGAAAAGTTTTAGAAACTTCAAATATTTCTCTAACAAAAGATTATAAAAAGTTAAGTGATTGTCCCCTTTTTCAAAAATTTGCCCCGTTCGAACAGTTCCCGTGCAAAACCGAGTTTTTAAGCTTTCAGCGACTATAACTCACTTCATTTTGATTGCTGTGTTTCCCTCTTTCCATGGGGTGAAAGAGCAGGTTTTGCTCTTTCTAATAAGCCCTAAACCATTTTTCAAAGTTCATTTTTCGAGAAAATCCCACGTTCGAACATTTCGGGCGGTTTTGCCGAACACATTCTTTGAAATCGCGAGTTTTTGGGCTTTCAACGAGCATAACTCGCTTCATTTTGATTGCTGCGTTTCCCTCTTTCCATGGGGTGAAAGAGCAGAATTTGCTCTTTCTAACAAGCCCTAAACCATTTTTCAAAGTTCATTTTTCGAGAAAATCCCACGTTCGAACATTTGGATCCCATAGGTTTTTGAGCAGCACATGCGAGGTTTTTCGAGCTTTCAGCAATAATAACTTCCTTCAAAGAGCATGTTGGAAAGAGGCGAAGACATTTTTGAAGACCGCGAGGTTTCTTCTTTCTTATGTGTTTCACGATTTTGTGGAAGAACCGTCCGTCAGAAAAGTAGGTTCCCGAAGAAGTTCAATTTCAGCCACAAGAAGTCAAACCTTTCATGGAGATGCATTCAACTGTTCTCTATTCCTCAAGGAAAACACCGTAATTTGCCCAAAACTGTCTCTCTGTGCATAATTAATCGAATCTAATGCGGTCTGCACAAACAATTCTTGCCCTCGGATACGCCACGCACGCGCCTGTGGCTGGCAGTCCTCGAAATTGCGACCCCCTTCCGACCAAAATGCGACCCCTTCGTTCGAACAGTTCGAACGGACGGTTGACCCTGCTTGCAGCACCTCGCGCTACTTTATAAGGCGCGGAAGGAACACGACATCAACCGTAATCCCCATAACTACTGTAATACGTTACCAATCAAAGTGATAGTTTTTGGGCTGGCTGGCTTTTCCTTGGTCGAAATTAATAGGCATCTTCCGTGTTCTTGTTATATGATATTAATCTGTTTTTTTTGTTCACTGTGGAACACACTTGGCGCCTCACCCCCAGTGCACTGTAAATCCACTCGGACTATATCTCGAAAAGCGACTTTTGAATAACATTTCCTTTCGGTAAAGTCGTGCACCTGCGCCTCGCTTGGAGCCGAGACGCCGAATTGAAAACAGTAATTGGCGCGCATGGATCGAAGCCTCTCAGACAATTTCATCAACCTTTCTAGCTAAGGAGAGCATATGTTGAACCTTCATTCAGATGTGCAATGGAATTCGAATTTTCTTCCTACTGCATGCATGTAATTCGATTAATTTTCAGCAATGAAGAGTCTTGGTGGCGTGTTAAATTGCGATCCAGACGTGATGAAGCCGTCGACTGTCAAGTCCGGTGGATGATATAAAGTGCCGACACAGGTCGGACAAAAGGTCCATTGGGTGCAATGGGCCGACTTCTATATGCGTAAAGATGTGTTCAGTCGACATTACTTCTTTCAAATAACCGAACAATGGAGAGGAGCGAGTAATCTGGCGAATGAATTCCATTAAGGATAATATCCTTGAACCCTTCGAGCTTTCCTTGCGGTCATTATTCATCCCAGTAGTGTTTGACTTCCTCGGGCACCTGGACTCAAGAAACGTGTAAAAATGGACACATACCCTCCCTTTTAAAGAGCGAGAAACCATGCAGTCGGGTGCAGGCCACACACCATAAAAGACGAGGGCCTCCAAGTAAATTCTGGCTGTAGTGGTTCACAGTTGTCGCTCATTTCGGTTAATGATTAGTGTAATTAGTGACAAGAGTTAAATACAACTGCAACAGGTAGGCATTTGATTGGTAGATTTTGGGCAACGCCGTTCTACATATGTTCGATGTCGTTTGAAGCAAAGAGTGGTCTGTACGACTCACGTATCACTTACCGAAAGTTGGATTCTCCGGATCGCTGGATAGACCGATGATCTCCAATATCTTTCAGAAAACAGATCGGCACTGAAAGTTCTCAACCAACGCTACCTGCAGAGGCAAATGCAGCAAAGGGAGAACTATTTATTACATACCTTTCAAGCCGAACTAGTCAACTTTGCTTCGAGATGAACTGGATTGCTTCAATGGTCTTATTGAAAAGCACAGTATTACCCATAAGAATATTTGATAGTAGCCTCTGGACAAATTGGAATTGACGAGAAGCGAACGTGAGGCATAATGCAGTGTTTGAGGTCGCCGAGGTTGTCGACGGATTGTGGACTATTACGACGTTGTAAATACTAGTTGACAGGATCCTGCACAACCATAGGTGTTTTCTTTAGAAAACTGTCCACCAGGGATCCGAACGAAGAAATCAGGTAGCAACGATTAGGTTGAGCCACATACCAAACGCCGCCTTAGGCTTGACGGCGGCGACAGAAAACTTCATATTTTGAAAGAAGACAGGCCGAGTTGAAAAAGGAGCTTTGTGTAATTATTTAGCCGAGAAACTCCTCAATGGCGTAAGCTTGTGCATGGAAGTGTTTGCTATTGTGCGCCTTAGGCAAAGAATATTCCTCTGCCCCCTTGTTCCTGCATGGTGCCAGCGCCAGGTCAGAGAGCTCGCCACAAGTTCGTGCACACGTTCTCGGCTATACTCAGGTATGGGGTAATATTAATTCATGGTACTTAGCTTTGAAATGCGTGTTGTCTAGTTTATGCTGTGCTCCGATAAAAATGTTCATGTCTAAATCCCTTGAGTTTTGAGCCCTGAATTTGCGTGGTAATTTTGTGATTCACTTGTAACTACATCGCTTAACGATGAATGCTTCAGGTCGGTGCGTGGTCAACTAACTTCCTGGACGACAAGGCTGTTTTGTTTCCAGGAAACTCATTTGCCATCGGCGGCGACGAGACTGTTACACGAACACATCACACTAGCAAGTAACTTTTCGTGTTATTTATCAAAGTGAAGACAACTATTTACGTGTTCACATGTATCGGGTGGAATTCAAGAATTTAATTTATTTATTTTATTTTTTTATTTATTTATTTATTTATTTATTTATTTATTTATTTATTTATTTATTTATTTATTTATTTATTTATTTATTTATTTATTTATTACTATGCACTCGTAGGTGCGCTACAATTAATTTGTCAGAAACCAAATCGTTATAAAATCGGGAATCATCGACTTAAAGTAAACACAATTTAAGCAGTATTTTACCCACAAGAGGATAAATATATGCTAAATTAATGCTCACAGGTGTGAGCCTAAGACGCGCTCACGTGGAAAACATATACAGGGGTGGCCAAAAAAAAAGAGACACTTCACTCAACATTCAAAACGGAATTATTTACGCGTCGCGAAACCAAACCAAATGACCCCAACTGAATATTGAAGAGCACGTTATAATCTATCAACAAGCTACACAACAGCCTTCTACACCGACGACATCAGAAGATTTTCCCACGGAAGCATTGTGCGCGGTACGATCTCAACGAGGTCGTTGAGATACCATAGACGATTACGACGTCTCTGAAACGCAGGTCAAAAGCGGTTTTGCACATTCACAGCTAATGTCTCTGGGAAGCTATTCAACAATTAATTCACTGAGGAAATTGTGTAGCAGCTTCAGGTCGGAGCGATTTCGGTAAGCCTCGTTGAGCTCGACGGTGACGGCAGATGACGTCATATTCTGGAGACGGCAGGGGCAGTGAAGGAGTGCTTGCTTCTGTTTACGGAGGAACAACTAAGGAATATAACGCCATAAAACTTTCATTAACATCGGCTCCCTGTGTGACGAAAAGTTCGATGATGTGCGCCATGGGCTGAGTGTCTCTTTTTTTTGGCCACCCCTGTATATGTAAGGAGGATCTCGGAATGGTACTTAGGGTTAATCGAGTTGACGAATGAACAGAGAGTGATCTGTTTCTTACCTGGCACTATAAAAATCTTTTGGCCTGCGGTGGGAGAAAAGTATAGAATGATGGTGAACGCAAGGGGAAGCGCTGGAACTGATTTCTTTCAGGAACAAAAACACCACGATGCCCCCCTTACCGGATGAGCGCCCAAAAATCTATGTTTTCATTCCAATGATGGACACTTTCGTGGCCTTTTCGTAAATCACTTTCTTCCCGACATTCGAATTGGAACAGCGGATATCTCTCTACCAGCTCCCCATCACCCTTCTGCGAACAGAGTATCCGCTACACATACACGTCTAACCATAAACACGCAAGCTTCATGTGGAACCTTTGCGTTGATCTCTACAGGCATCATGCTACCTCTCAAACAAATGTAGTGCTGAGTATCCTACCGCAGCTATTCACTTGACCTCTAACTGTCACTTCGACCCTAGGCGTCGCTTCTGCAGCTCTTTCATCTAGGTGAAGAAAACCACCAGTTCTATATATTGGGGTTTACTTCTAAACTTACCCACAACTTATTCCTGCCTCAGCTGCAATTCAATATTGCAGACATCCTTCGAGAATTCAACTCGGCTATCGTGGGAGCCTCGCATGGAGAGGGTTATGACAACACTGAATTCAATGTGGGTGTGAGCGGAAGGACCAGCTTAGATATGCCACGACAAGCACAAGATCTTATCGATAGGATGAGAAATAAACTTGATAAAGTGAGTCAGAAATCCTATTCCTATCTCGCCAATTCTCTGCGACCTCTACGAATATTCGGGTTATTTTCTGACATATTCATGCTTGGCAATGTGCGACGGCGAGATGGCTATGAATCAGTTATTATCGAATCTATTAGGATTGGTAAGAAAGTCCTGAGCCGTTTGACATTTTTTTTGCTTTACTTTTTTATTCCGCGTACAATGGAATTTACTCAACAATATAATCACCATTGTTACTCACTACAGAGTCCCACCTAATGGGCAGGTCAGCGATTTCCTTCCCCTAAAGGCTCAAAAGGCTTAAAATCAAGACAGGAACTATGAGACAAATATAACATACGC